CTGCAATATTGTAATAATTGTATAAATAATGTCAACCCATTCATGACTGCATATTAGAAAGGCTAGCTGGACATTTATTGAGCAATGACATCATTTGTTTACTTTTGAACATCAGCAAAAATCGAACATTTCCCTTACTTTGAGCTCCATTTCCAGGTTCTTTTTATAGTAAAACCAATCAAAATCACCTCTATTTCTATAATATTTTTTTATTCTATCAAATGTGACAAAGAAAATGAGAATACAACCATAAATACTATACGAAAATAGACCACAAAGTCGGCATTTTAATAAAAAAAAAACGGTCGGAGTTTTTTTTTATTTTATTTTTATTAAAACGCCGACTTTGAGGTGTATTTTCACATAGTATTTATCGTTGTATTCTCGTTTTCATGGCCCTCATGTGATAAAATGGAAAACATATTGCAGAAATAGAGATGATTTGATTAGTTTCATGATGAAAACGACCTTGAAATTGAGCTCAAAGTAGAGGAAATGTTTGATTTTTACCAATGTTCAAGAGTAAGCAAATCACACCACACGTCCAATACACGTCAACTGGGGATCTAAATATTCTTTCACTAGTGCACTGATATTATTTACCCCAAAACTGCATAACAGTAAATCTTCTATTTTTTGTATGAATAAAAAATCAAAATAAAAGCAATAGTAATATAAGAGGGGCCTAGAGACGTGACTAATGAACAGAGGATATGTTATTTTAGTGCCAAAATGTCTACATTGTTTATTTTGGACCCTATTTTGAAATTGGCATCTTTTTTAATTTTGCATGAAATTGGCCAAATTGCCAATTTCTGACCACTTTAATGGGGAGTATCAAATCGGTAAATGGGCAGTTTTCTTGTACTCAATTGATAGAAAAAATGGAGTTCTAAAGAAATAGCTATGAGTTTGGTCAACTGGAGCAACGGAATTGGCAAAAAACAGGGCTCAAATCACCAAAATTGCCGATGCGTATATGTCGACGAGACCGCTAACTTCGCAGGAGATTAATTCCGTGAATTTTCGACCAAATTTCGTACTTTTGGTGTCATTTACCATCGGAAAAAGATTCTCTATCATTTCATAACAAAAAATATTTTTTTGTTTCCAAAAATTTTGCAACATAGAATGACAGTTTCAGAAAGGGGCTTGCGACAGTCAAAGGGTTTAAGGGTACAAATATTTTAAGTAATGAGTGTACTATATGTGTATTTTACTTTTTATTGTTTTTTTTAATGACTAGTTCTATTGCTAATTTAATATATGTTAGTGTAAACTTGTTATCTAGCACAGTGGTCCCTCGCTTTTCGCCAATCATAGGGGTATTTTCGTATAAACATGGACTCGCTTTTCATAGGTTGACTCGCAAGTCGTAGTTCGTCCGGGATGCATACCCACGGCGTGAGCCGTGGTGGCAGCCAGTCTGGCATTGTTTACCAGTGAGTGAAGGTCCCCTCACGTGCTCCAGCGAAATATTTCATAATATTCCATTTATTTTAGTGCTTGCAAGTACTAAATAAGCTACCATGGCTCCAAAGAAAGCTCCTAGTGCCAAGCCTGTGGTAAAGAAGGTGAGAAATGCAATTGAATTTAAGAAAACCATCATTGAACAATATGAAAGTGGTACAAGTGTGGCCAAAACTGTCCAGGATGTATAAGAAACCCTACACAACCTTATGTTCCATAGTGGCCAAGAAAAAGGAAATCAAGGATGATGGTTGTTGCAAAGGGAGTAACTATGCTGACAAAAATGAGATCACCAGTACTCGAACAGGTTGAGGAGTTATTAATGGTGTGGATAATGAGAAACAATTAGCAGGAGATACTCTTATGACCTCGATTATTTGTGAAAAGGCTAGGCAGTTGCATAAAGATTTGGTAAAGAAATTGCCTGCAAATAGTGGTGATGTGAGTAAATTTAAGGCCAGCAAAGGCTGGTTTGAGAGATTTAAGAACCATACTGGCATACACAGTGTGGTAAGGCATGGTGAGGCTGCCAGTTCGGACCAAAAGGGGCGGCTGAAAAATATGTGCATGAATTCCAGGAGTACATAGAGGTTGAAGGACTGAAACCTGAACAAGTGTTCAATTGTGACGAAACAGGCCTCCTTTGGAAGAAAATGCCAAAGAGGACCTTCATTACACAAGAGAAAAAGGCAATGCCAGGACACAAGCCTATGAAAGACAGGCTGAGGCTAATGTTCTGTGCTAATGCTAGTGGGGATTTCAAAGTGAAGCCATTACTAGTGTACCATTCTGAAAATCCCAGAGTGTTCAGGAAAAACAATGTTATGAAGAGTAAACTGTGTGTGTTTGGAAATCTAATATTAAGGCATGGGTCACGAGGGAAATTTTCGTCGAGTGGTTCAATGAAGTGTTTGGCCCTAGTGTGAAGGAGTATCTCCTGGAAAAAGAAATTGGATCTCAAGTGCCTGCTAGTAATGGACAATGCACCTGCTCATCCTCCAAACTTGGATGACCTAATTTTCGAGGAGTTTTGGGTTCATCACAGTAAAGATCTTGCCCCCGAATACCACTCCTCTCCTCCAACCCATGAACCAGCAGGTCATTGCAATCTTTAAAAAACTCTACACAGAAGCAATGTTTCACAGGTGCTTGACTGACCACAGACACTCACTTGACCCTAAGGGAATTTTGGAGAGAACACTTCAGCATCCTCCACTGCATAACCATTATAGGTATGACTTGGGAGGGAGTGACTACCAGGACTCTGAACTCTGCCTGGAGAAAATTGTGCCAGATTGTGTCGACAAGAGGGATTTGAAGGGTTTGGGACTGACCCTAATGAGCCTATGTCTGTTGTAAAATCAATTGTGGCACTGGGGAGTTCCATGGGGTTGATGTGAGTTTGGAGGATGTGGAAGAATTGGTGGAAGACCACAACGAAGAGCTCACCACTGAGGAGCTGCAAGAGCTTCAGCAGGAAGAGCAACACATCGCAGCTCAGAATCTTGCTGCAGAGGAGGAGGAAGAGAGATGAAGAAGGTGCCTTCTTCAAAAATTAAAGAGATTTTTACTATGTGGGGTAAGATGGAAAGCTTTATGGAGAATCATCACCCTGACAAGGTTGTTGCAAGCCATATTGGCAACATGTGGGCCATTTTAGGGAAGTGTTAAAGAGATGCCAGAAACAGAGCTCTCTCCCCAGTTATTTTGCGAGACAGGACTCCATTGACTCTCAAGGTGGTCCTAGTGGCATTAAGAAACAGAGAAGAGAAGCAACCCCCAGAAAAGCAATTGGTACCTGAGGTGTTGCTGGAAGGGGATTCCCCTTCCAAACATAAACAAATCCACTCTCTCTCCTCCTCCAGTCTCCCATACACTAAGAAGAATCTCCAATAAAGGTAAGTGTTATGCTGTTAATGTTTCATTCATCATTTCCCATTGTATTGTTTATGTACTACATGTATATTTCATGTAAAAAAATTTTTTGTTTTAATACTTCTGGGTGTCAGGAACGGATTAATTGTATTTACATTATTTCTTATGGGGAAAATTGATTCGTAAATCGTAAATTTCGTTTATAGTAATGGCTCCAGGAATGGATTAATTATGAAAAACGAGGGACCACTGTATTTATATGCACTTATAAGTGTAAAAAAAAAGGTGTTCCACTTTACGGAGGTAGCCTGGAACCTAACCTGCCATATAAGTGGGGCCCTACTGTATATAATAATATAAAATAATAATAATAATAATAATAATAATAATATAGATTATACATGTTCCATTTGCAGTCAAGAGAAATGTAAACATACATAAAGATGCAATAAAAATCATAAATATACATGAATTTCTTTTTTCACGTTATCTTTTTCATTTTTAATGCCTAGTGTTAGTAATACATATAATATCTACAGTGTTTTGCATCATATGAGACAATACTGATGTAGGTACTGACAGACAGACGAGTTATCTGGTATCAATAAAATACAGTACAGTAATGTAAATTTATTTTCTCTTCCTTATGATTTACTTTATAATAAGGATACAGTATATAATACATATAACATACAAAATGTGTTGATCGACTGTTTATTTTATTAGTAGGGCTTCCGATCAACAGAAGGCCATTAGTAGTTTAGTTTTTTGAGAAGCAAATGTTATACACTGATTTTCGACTGCACGGAGGGTTGATGCCCCTAACCCCTGCATTGCTCAAGAGTCAACTGTATCTGCTATTTTAACACACCCGTCATCTCCCACCGAGGCAGGGTAACCTGAAAAAGCTTAAAACCATCATTCACTCCATCACTGTCTTGCCAGAGGCACACTGATGCTACAGTTCAGATGCCCCTCCAAACTGCAAATATCCCCACCCCTCCTTCAGAGTGCTGGCACTGTACTCACACTCCCATAGCACATCAAGTCCTAAAAACCAAACTTGCCTCCACTCACGCCTCTAATATATTCACACACATCTGCTGAATGTCATAAATGCAGTTCTGAGAAGGCTAGAGATGGTGAAGATATCATGTTAGAGAGCAATAATTGGTGCAATTAACATACAGAGAAGGGCTGGAGGGAGGGGTTATTAGTTTTTGAGTACTAGGGGCTTGACTTTCCAGCAGGCTTGTGTGTGTTAGGCTGGAGTGAAAATGAATTTTTATTGCTTGACATGCTGTTATAGTGTGGGTAAAGTAATGTTTACAAAGGGATTTGGGAAAATCAGAAAGGTGGACTTGAGTCTTGGAGGTGGGAAGTACAGTGACTGCAATCTGAACAAGGGTTGAGATGTTACAGTTTAGAGAGCTATTTGAATTGTGATAACTGTGCACTTCTAGCAAGACAGCAGTTGAATGAATGATGTTTGAATGTTTCCTTTTCTGGGGTTATCCTACTTTGGTGGAAGACAGGGCTATTAAAAAAAAGTAATCTCAATTCATTGTCAAGATATTAATGTGATATGGAATCTAAAAAAAAAATAAAAATAAAGCAAACCACACAGCATCCTCTAATGGGGATACCTAACTTACCAATAAAGAATCGTCCAAAGTGGTGATATGCACCCTCCTTCATAGATGGTCCACACAGCTCAAGAGTAAAAACATTAGCAGTAAGGTTCTGGTTCTGAGTAACAAGTCCATCAAACCAAGGAACAACTACTCCTTGAGGCTGAGCTAATGCTGAGAATGCCAGCCCCAAAATCCCCTAGAATTAAAAAAAACATTATGAGAAATATTTGAGTTAACTTACTCAATGCATACTGTATTCACACGAGTCACATTTCTTATACAATGTATGAAAAAGTTAAATGCAGGAAATGCTTATTTGTATAACACACATAACATATGAAGGAAAACAAAAAATCATTAATTGAAGAATACCTGAAATTTAAAAAAAAATTCACTGTATCTGTCAATACTGCACTCTGAACATTAAAACATGCATTTCTGAATTGTGGAACATGAGGGGCTCATTTGTAATAAATTTCCAGCTGTGGGGTAAAGCCACATGGGCAACACTTAGGACATTTATTAGGGAAAGGTTCCACTATGGGCTCTGTCAATCCAAATATATTAAGATTGACAAAGCTCCTAGTGGGTAAAACCTTTCCAAAAAATATGAACTGAGAATTGCACACAAGTTTTTACCTAACAGACTGTCTATGTTGATATACTTATTTATTGTACCAAATTTGTATTTTTTTAACATGTCGGCTCAGCCGTCTCCCACCGAGACAGAGTGACCCAGAAAAGAAACATTTTCACCATCATTCACACATAATCACTGTCTTTGCAGGGGCGCCAGATACGACACTACAGCAACTTTTTATACCAAGTAAATATTAAATACATTTTGTAAATGACTTTCTATTAACTTAACCCCTTAATTATCCAAATGTAGATCTACATTGCAAACCACCAACACACAGTATGTGTACATGGACAAGATTACAACTCTAGAACATAAACTAAATGAACTGGAACAACTCAGCAACACCCACACCCAGTCTGAAGAATCCATCAACCTCCTAAAAGATCAAGTTACTCAACTGAACACCAACATCAAGAATGAAAAGAAAGAGTGATATGCACTTAACGATGTTATGAACAACTTCCAAGACACTTCGACCAACAACAACCCGTCTTTTT